ATTTCAATTTCTCTAAGAAAATCTGGGAGCCAAATTATCTTCTCACTTATACTTATTGCCCCAATGGTGAACCTACTACAGTACTCCTAGAATTAGAGAGATTAGAAAATAGTCCCACATATGATAGCCAAGCCAGAATATAACTTCACAGGTTGACTCCAGATTTGCAGCAGTCTTATGACACCCATTTTCGGAAATAGTAGGCCTGACTTTCCTGTCTAGTTTTATCAGGGTGTAACTGAATTTCTTTCAATATAACAAGTGATTTACACTGGTACAAGGAAGAAGAACGTTGGGCCTATTGGCCATGTCCGGATGTGCGTGGACATTTGGCTCCCTGGGGACACACTTTGTACCGCTGCTAGTTGTTTCTGGGGAAGACCCATGCCATGCACACTCTAGCAAGCGGCAAGTTACTCCAGGTGGGGTAGGGGAGGCTGGGGCCTCCTGGAGCTGCAGCCACGTCATTCCTGCCACATGGAGCCTAGCCAGCAGCAGAGTATGGCTCTGGCTTTGGGCTTCCAGTGCAGAGAACAACAGAACATGCGGTGTGTGGCGCTGCAGACATGTCAGCTGTGTCACATTCCTTACAGCCACACTCGTCTGGATGTGGCCATTGAGTCTATAGGAATTTAAAACTTGAGGCTAAATAATTGGTACATAAATTTATAGCAATATAATGAAATGTTCTAATTTTAGATGATTTAAGGGTTTTCCCTATTAAAGTATGCCATGAACTTTCCATGAGGTAAACCTGGGATAACGACATAAAGAATCAGGATAACTGACTTGGCTATTGATTTTAGTGACACAATATAGATATAGAATAACTTCACTAATGTATCATGTTTAGTAATTTATATCTGTGTGACAAAGAGCTAAATCTGTCCCCTTGGCCCCAGTGCATTTGCTATTCCAATTTTAGCATGATGAAATTTAGGTTATATTGACACTGAAGTCAGAGCAGAGACTGCAATGTATTGTAGGGTACCACTTTACATTAGCTAGCTCAGACACAGATAATCATTTAGACACAGAAACATGAACTCTATACTAGCTAATTTACTCCAGTAAGAAGCAAACAAAGGCTGCCACAGTAAAGGACTCAGGATACAAAATAAAACCAGCATCATCATCTATCAAAGCTATATTTTACCATGCTGGACTTCTCATTATATCTGTGTATATATTTGGCATAATATACTGTATTTACTGAAATGCAAGATGAGGTCCTCCCATCAATATGTGGGTAAAAGCCTCATCTTGGATTCAAGTACCAGCTAGGGCAGGCAGCTGCTGCAGCAGATTAGGAACAAAAAAGTTGAGCGTGTACTCTAATAGTGGCAGAATTTATACAACATTGTGTCTTCTTCTAGTTACCTAGAAATTTATATTTAACCTATTACCCATGATGCCTGGATGTCTTATTTAGCAACGGTCTGTGAAATAATGGATATATGTCAGCTGTGCAGATATTCACTTTTTACTGCAACTGCCAGATTTTAAAACATTTTCATTATTTTAATAGAATTAAAATAGCACATAGCACCCCCTTATAAAATGCTGAGCATCTTGCTACTGGCTTCATGTGGATTAAGCATTCACACCTCATGTAAATGTTCGGGCTTGCATCATGAAGGTCTTTCTGTTTTCATAGAGCATGTTTCCAAATTATTTACCTATTTCCACAATTCTGTAGTTTTTTCAGGTAGGAGTCACTGAACTTGGGGTTTGTAAACCCAGGTTTGCAATCTTTTGTACTCATATGTTCCACTGTTAAACTGATATCAGCAGAGAAGCACTAACACTCTTTTTGGCTTGGAGTAGTTATACTAACTTGGGGTCTACCTCCTACAGGCAGCAGTATGTGAAATGTTGAACTTTGGTGTTTGTCTTTGCCATGCCCTTTTTGGGAGGATACTCATAGGCCTCTCTACACATTACAGGTATCACACAATTAACTGGTTAATTGAGCAATTACCTTGAGAGCAGCTGCACATGCGAAGTAGCTATCATGCCATAAAAAGATCCAACAAGCTATAAAGCTAGACCTCAAAAATGTGCAGTAACTTTATAGCTGATTGCTACAGAGCTTTAATTTGTGTGCATAGCAGGGTCTCCCCTGAATCTGGGAGCTGGTTCCCAGCCACAGGGGTGTACCATGCACAGCCAGGGCTGGGAGTCCTGCAACTGAGGAGACACATAGCCCCAGCTGCTGCCGACTCCGGTTCCCGGCAACTGGGGTCCACAGCTGCCCTGGGGGTGCGTAAAACCCCTGCAGCTGGGGAATCGTGGATCAACTGAGGGGATTCCCAGCTGCAGGAGCTTGATTATGCAGATTGTGCATTAAATCCCATCAGGGGTGTACTTGGTAGCTGTGTTGGTCTGAGACAAAAAGACATACAAAAAACTAGAACTCTTGGTTCCAAAATGATACCTTTTATTAGACCAACTGGAAAATGGCAAGAAAATTGTCCTTTTCTGCAAGCTTTCGGGATCAAAGTCCCTTCGTCAGGCTCTGGGAAAAGTGTTGATGGTACAAGATGGTAAAAAGTCCCCATAGGTCGGAAATAAACTTCATTTTTGCAGAGGGAGCTGAAGATGGAAGTCTGTCCCTCTGGGTCCATGACAGCGCCTTTACCTGTGCATGTAGAGAGGCTAGTGGATTGAGAGACCAGGCATATCCTTTTGTTTGGTGATTTATTTGTGGTAACACCTAAATGCTTAGATAAGCAGGGTCCTTATTCTGCTAGATGCTTTGCAAACTTACTGAGTTTCACATAGGAACTCAATTAGGACCAAATTCTCCATATGTTTTCTTTATTTCAAATGGCTCTGGATAAGAAGCTTGCTCTGCTCATCATTGGACTGCCTCAGTCTGGCCCAATCTCTATTTTTAGTTTCTTGAACAAAGCATCACTCTTTATGACTGGCCTCAGACAACTCTCTCAGTCTTTCACTTTGGGGTTTGCCCTTTCTCTAGCATTTGCCAACTGTTGGCCTTTCCTGAAGTGTGAACCCCTTTCTAGCTCCCTTGACTATCTAGTTCTCCACAGTCAGTGGGTCCCTTCCAGACCTGCGGTCTTCTGTCCCCTTTGTTGTGTTGTTCCCTGGGCTTACTTGGCCCTCAACATAGTTCACTGGGCCCCATGTCAGTCATGCCTCAAGCCTATTGGGCCCCCTGTCAGCTCTGCCCCTCATTCACTAGGCCTCTTGTTGGTCTTACCATGGGTTCACTGGGCGCTCAGCGGGGGCACATAGCCCCCTGTGCCACCCCTATGCATCACCTATACAATTAGCAGTCTCACACTGGGCCCTAAGCCCGCAACTCAAAATCAGAGTACCTTCCTAGGCACACACAATAGCTTTCCTTCTTCCCTACAGCTATACCATGCCTTGCAGCCCAAATGGTTAACAAGATGCTCCAAACTAGAGCACTTGCATCCTCTCTCTATCAGCTGGTTTTCTCCAGCTCTCTGGGGTACTAACATTTGTCTAAATGTTCTTTTAGCAGCCCATGTTCACAAGAACTCAAAGTTCAAAGCCAGCCCCCATTGCCTGGTTCAGAATCCCTGCTTATAGTACCCTGGGCTTCACCCTATCCAGTCACATGGTCTCCTGAACTGGGCATAGGGGTTTGCTCTCAGTTCATTAATCAGTCTGCTCCTCTCTGCAGCAGTCTGCTCATCTGCACTTCAACACTAAGTTACCTGCTTGTAACACTGCCCTAGTAGTAGTTTATTGCAGGGCAGTTTGCTCCCAGTCCATCACTTGCAATTCTGTAGCTTCTGCCCCATATTCCCTGGGCTGCTTACTTGGCCCCTAACTCCGTTGCCTGAACCAGCCTGAAGCTCCATGCTGCCGTCTCACTCTTTAAGTAACAGGAGTTATGAGCCTCTGTTACAGCACTCAATTCAAAACAGTGGCAATTCCTAGTGTTTTAGTACTTGAGTTTACAACCTTAACAAAATTATTTTAACATAATTTGTGTGTGTAACTTCCTAGGTTTTAAAAAAACAAAACTAAACTAAAATACCCCGGAAATTCCATGTGACAACAGCCTGACACCTGCATGATTAATTATCATGGCTAGGGTTAGAAATTACACAAACTAGTATTAGTGATTTAAAACCAGTTCAGATCTGTAACGCAACAGAAGTTCAGTACACATAAACTACTTTCAAAATGGTCAAAACCAATTTAAGATAAACCTGGATGGATATATTATCAGACTTAACTGATTTAGGTCAAATCAGTTTATTGAACTTCTGTCCCAGATCCCCTCCAGATGCAAATCAATTCGCAGTCTCCCAGCATCCCAGGATGCTTTGCACCTCCCCTGCAAGTGCCCTCTCACAGGCTGGGCAGGCTAGCCTTGGCCAACTGTAGTGTCTCCCTGCTTCTGGCCTGGGCCCCTGTAGGTATTGGCTGCATTTCTGGAATCAAAAGTGAATGTCTATGCACTTGCTTGTTGGTTCAATCTACACAATTTAGACTAACCTGTGAGGACTGAATCAATTTAGCTTCGGGCTTTTTGAATGGCTGTACTTAGCTCATGGGTGGAGCCTTGGGTTCCATTCCAGCTTTTGGATTGGTACTGACTCCCTTCTGTCCCTTTCCCTAAAGGTTAATCTCCAGCCTGTCTCCAACCTACATGTAATACAGGTTAGCCTTCCAAATACTTGCATAGTCCTACTGTTTTCTTTCTTTGTTCATTATCTGTTTGTCCTATTGTTACTTCCTTCTGTTTGTCACAGTGCTAATAAGAACCTGCATGCATCTCTGATACAAAATTAATATTAAAATTAAAGGTAACTGTATGCATAAGTACTTGCAGGCTTGTGTTCATATGCTCTGTAATGCTTGGAATTTATCTTTAACTGTACTGCAAAATTCCATTCATATTTATGGAATATATATATCTATATCAATAAGAAACAAATATTAAGAACAGTAACCTAGCCTTATAACTAAATATGATGTGGGCTTTTGTGTTTCAGAATAACCATTTTTCTGACTTTGTGGACAAACAAACTGGCTACACAACTATCAACATGCTGGCAATGCCTGTCGTGCAGGGTAAAGAGGTTCTTGCTGTTGTGATGGCAATTAACAAATTAAATGCCCCTGAATTCTCTAAGGAGGATGAAGAGGTAACTGCAGACAAAAAAACCAAACAAACCAGGAATACAATTGTTACTGTAATAACTAATCTGACAATCTCATTCTTGATTTCCTATGTTTTGTCTTATTTGTGTTCTCTATCAATTCCAGGTCTTTAAAAAATACCTCAATTTTGTTTCTCTTGCCATAAAACAAAATCATATCACATATCTTCACAGTTTTGAATCCCGAAGAAGTCAGGTAAAGAAATATTTAATTATAGCCTTAATTTGTTTTTCTTAAATGAAATTATTACTTTTATAAATTTTCACACTGTTCTAGAGACAACATATAAAAATAAACAGTATATATTTGTTAGGTGAGAATGGTGTCAGCATACATTAATCATTCAACCTTTAATAGCTGTGACTCATGAGGTTATGTTTTTGCTTTCATTCTATTCCCCACTTAAGTATTACCCCTTTTTTCATTTATTTTCAACAGATGCTTTTGTGGTCTGCCAACAAAGTATTTGAAGAACTTACAGATATTGAGCGACAGTTTCACAAAGCTCTATACACTATCCGAATGTATTTGAATTGTGAAAGGTATTCTGTTGGTCTGCTGGACATGACCAAAGAGAAGGTAACCATTATTTTACACGTTACTTTAATATGTTTAAATTATTTAGCTAATAATCATCATAAAAATTACTTCTCTACATAATCTGTCTGTCATGGATATTTATAACATACCTCTCAAAATGATCACTGTGTTATGCTTTCTAAGTATGATACCAGACTGCAAGAGGCATGTTCTGTGCTAGACTCAGAAAAATCACAAAAATTACATGGGAGACATATAAAAGCAGGGTAGGTATCTATCCAAAATTAACACAAGGCTTAATCCTTTAGCCCTTATTCACATGAGTAATTTCATGTGAATACAGTTTAGAGATTAGGCTCCATGTTCTTTCGGGCGGTTTTCTATCCACATTCAATCCAAAAGTCAACATTAAGCACTGGATTTTACATTATTCTCCAACTTGGAAAATTTTTGCCTGATATTTATTCATCATTGCTTTCTTAATACTAAGCATACCACATATGGCTAGGGAGGAGGAAAGGACAGCATTACAGCCATGGATTTCAGGTTATCTGTCAATATATAACTGTATTGTAACTTCTTTTATTAGCTTGTGTGTGGTTTTATTCTTAGGAATTCTATGATGAATGGCCAATCAAGCTGGGAGAATTAGAGCCGTATAAAGGCCCAAAGACACCAGATGGCAGAGTAAGTATAAAATATTTCTATTTATGAAGAATAACATTTGGAATGCCTTTGTATAGGTTTCTACATGCAAAGGTTTCTATATGTTCTCCTCTTTTATTTAGGAAATTCACTTTTATAAGATTATTGACTATATTTTACATGGAAAAGAAGAAATCAAAGTCATTCCGTAAGTATTCATTATCAGCTTAATTGTGTAGTAATTAGCTACACTACTTAGACAAAACAACATTTATGTCCATATTGCTAATTTACTCTCATTCCTTTTCTAAAGGACACCTCCTGCAGACCACTGGTGTCTAGTCAGTGGGTTGCCGACATATGTTGCTGAAAATGGATTTGTAAGTTAAATGCAAAAATAAAAGTGACATGTTATGAAATATTTTAATCATAGAGCATGTATCTATACATGCCGTTAAGATGACGTGATAAACGCTGGCACAGTTTGCACTAGAGTTTATCATGTCACCTTAATAGCACGTTTAGATGTTCAAACTGCTGAGGTCCAGGGCATACATGCAGATGCTGTGCCCCAAACTGCAGCAATTTGAGCTGGGGCAGAACAGCCCCGAAGGGCCAGCCCTGGGCTCCAAGAGGCAGCAGCAGGCAGTGGAGGGGTTGTCTTGTGCCCCAGCATGCAGAGCCCTATGGCTAGGCAGCAGGCAGGAGTCTCGCCCCTTGCTGCATAGGCTGACTGGGCACAATATATGCCCAGGTCAGCATTTACATGTGCATTTGGTGAAGTTATTTTCATCACAGTAAGATAATACTGTCCCTGACAGTTCTGTTTTACTGTGGCAAAAATTAGTTTGCTGTGGTCTAATAGCTTCACATGTGTAGACTGATTTTTACAATGCAGCAACTTGATTTACTGTGCAGTTAAGTGCATGTGTAGATTCACTCAGAAAGTCCCAAAGCTGTTAAAAACTTTTGAAAGCCAAATGATTGGAAATACAATAAGTGCATACATGGGAATATCATGCCAGCTCTAGCATCATGCAGCCCTGGAGAGTGGTTGAACTAATTAATGACTGGAAGGAACAAGCCTCTGTACAGATGACCTGGGACCCGGGGTAGGGGGGGGGTGGGGGTTGCTATACTCATTGCTTGAATTCAGTTTAGACATCCTAACAACACAACAATCAATCAGCAGCTTAGCAAACAAAAACCTGTAGAGCTTTCTGTTAAGTCCTCGTATGGGATTATAACTAAAAAGATATGGTTTGGCCCCAAATCAATACAGAACCAAGGCTCCTAATGGTGCAAGTTACTGTCTATCAGACAAGATATAGGCCTCAGCACATCCTAGTTAGTCCTGTTCCTAAAGCACTTTTTGTAACACGAGGATTTAATTTTTTGCTCATGTTTTTCTTTTCCCAATATTAACTGTGCAGTTTTAAGTTGCATACAATATCTTTACTTTTTCCCCACCACTCACATGAAGTCTTATTGCACATTCTTAAATAGCTACTATGGTTAGTAAAATGCATTATGAGGCACTATGAAAAAGGACGGGTACGGTCAGTACTTCAAAATACATACAATAGAAGAGCTAATTATATTATAATAACAACATTGTGATATTTGTAAAATGATGTGGTCCGCTAGAAAATAAATGTGCATTTTTAAAGTGGACTCAAGTATGTATACACCATCTAAATGATGTTCTTCTCTTTTTCTTCATACCATAGATTTGTAATATGATGAATGCAGCAGCAGATGAATATTTTCAATTTCAGGTAATATCTTCATAGTTCTTTTACTGTAATTATTATAAAGCAAAAAAACGTAAAAACGTATTTTTTTTTACTTACAGTAAAAAAAAGGATTATACATTCACACAAATTCATTGCCATGGCCAATAATTTTGTTATTGTATTTTATTTATGATCTTTTTGTCCCTACTATTGCATTTGCAATGAGTATAAAACATTGTATTACTATTTTTAAAGAAATATGCAGTATTTACTGCTTTTCGGCTTCGTTTGCAGAAAGAACCTGTGGATGAAACAGGCTGGCTTATCAAAAATGTCCTTTGTTTGCCCATTGTCAACAAAAAGGAAGAAATTGTGGGAGTAGCTACATTTTACAATAGGAAAGATGGGAAACCATTTGATGAATTTGATGAACAGATCACCGAAGTAAGTTTAAGAAAATGAAATATATCCAAGTAATCATGTGTTGCTCAGCAAAATCTGATTTTTATAAACACTCAGTTTGATTTATTAAAATATTTTTACACTGAAAATTTGATACGTTTTTCATTACAACAGTTATGATAGATGATTTTTTTCATTGATGAACAGAGAAATCTGATACAATATAAAATCATTCCAACAAACAAAACCCCCCTTAATATTAGATTTTCTACCCATAGTCAATATCCTTTTGTTGACCCAGAAAGGTATTACTGTATCAATTTATACCAATAATATTTATCATTATGTCACAAGTATAAGGCCAATCAATGCATCCCACTTCAAAAGTCCAGATCCTGTGAAGAGCTCCATGCAAGCCAAGTCTATACTTGTGGTATCAGTGGGCTCCCGCATGGGTGGAAAATGTCCATCCTTATATTAGGAAAAAAACTTAATTTTTAGGGTTCGCATTCCTCTCTTCAAAATGGGGATAATGCTACCCCCATTGTATGGATGCTGAAAGGAAAAATATAGTAATTTATGAGGTGTTCAGAAACTGCATTAATGAACAGCACATATATACCCTTCTTCTAATTCTTTATATTAAAGGGTGCTCTATCAAAAACTGATTTTTCTTTAAAAAATTCCAGCTGCCAGTTTCCCTTTAATATGAAACCAACTGTGTTGCCACTTTATTATCCTTCCTCTGCTTGGTTCCAGACTCTTACACAGTTCCTGGGGTGGTCTGTTTTAAATCCTGACACATATGACAAAATGAATAAGCTTGAGAACAGAAAAGACATCGCTCAGGAAATGCTCATGTACCAGACAAAAGCCACACCGAATGAAGTTGAATCCATACTAGTGAGTGTCTGCCGCAGTACCACGGAGCAGAACTAGGAATCTTACTGCACTGAAACTTAATTTTTCTTCCATTTTCAATTTTAGAACTACAAAAATAAATTAAATGAGGATTACATTGAAAACTGCGATGAGAAAGATCTCGTCAGAATTTTGGTAAGTAGTTAAATCTTAAAGATCCAAATAGTATATTTACTTTAGATAGTGAGAGATTGCCAGACACTATATACTATAGTGGAGTAAAGTACTCTGCCACAATGCTTGTGTAGACAGTGATGGGTTTGGCTGAGGCATGAGGGTGCTATAGTGTGGGGCTGCCTGCCAGCTAGCCCTGCACTATAGCACCATTGTGCCCCAGCCAACTCCTCCATAGCACAATAAGCTGGGGCAGATCAGCTTTGGGCTGGCAGGTTGACCCTGGGCTCCCCTGCAGCAGGGGCTGTGCCACCCTGACTCAACATGCTGTGGTCATCGGCATATGTGTAAACGCTGTGCCTGGGAGCAATAAACTCTGGCATTTATTCAGGCATATGAATTTCACATGTAGATGACCCTTTATTGATCAAGTGGAATTGAACCAGTCAGGCAGAATTATATTAATATTCTGACTCAAAGATAATGTAACAAATTCTGCATTTGACTGTGTGGTGATATCCCCTAACTGCTTTGCTTGCTCTACTGATCTTCAGATGTGGATAAATAGGACATACAGCAACATCAGAAACTAGTATAAAGTGAATGTTCACAAAGTAAAGATCACATATCTGTAAGTGTAGGGCACAGGAAACAATTGCTAACAGTAGAACTGCTTTACATGATACCTTTGAAAAATCTAAATCAGTTAGAGAGAGAAGGAGAACAAGGATGTTACTGGAGAAATTTGTTAGAGGCTCCAGAATAAACAGTGACTAAAGATGTAGGACGGGGCAGGCAATTATTTTTGGTGGAGGGTCACTTCCCAAGTTTTGCCAAGCTGTCGTGGGCTGTAAGGGTAGCCTGGCCCCTTGACAAGTGCCCTGCCCTCTGGTCACCATCTTGGGACTGGAAGTCCCACCCCTTAACCCCTGACCTTTGCCACCAAAAGTCCCTCCCCGTGCCCCTAGAAGTACTCCTTTCAGTAAGGGGGCTTGCCATCTCAGAACCAGAAAAATACCAAATTATATTCTAAAAATCAAACGTACTACAATGTTCATGAATTTGATTTCAAAAATATTTTTGTCCTGATTTACATATGTTTGTGTAGTATACATAGAGGTGATTGTATAATAGGTTAAAATGAAGTCTTACTCTTATATATCGGGGGAAGGGTGTGGGGGTATGGCTGGGTGGGTAAAGGTTTGTTGGGGGCTGTGGGGGGAGGGTGTGTGGGGGGTGGATAGGCATGGGAGGTGGGGGTGAGCATGTGTGTGTGTGTGTGGTTAGGTAAAGAGCTTGTGGGGGGCTGTGAGTGTGTGGGGGGGAGGGGGGCTGAGGAGGGTTGTGGCATGTGTGGAGGGGGAGGGGTTGCCTCCCCTGTCTATCTCTGCCCCCCGTGGCAGGCAGAGCCCTTGCCAGCACTCCTCCAAGCCCAGGCTCCACACTTTTGCCAGTTCTGGCCCCAGGTCACCAGCATGGGCCCCGTGCTCCCACTTGCTGCCCCTTCCCCCTCCTGTCTGCCACTGATGCCCTTCTCCTGCCACTTCCCCATCCCCGCCCAGCTCTCCACTCTGGCACCACGTCCCAGCTGTATGGCCAAGACCACAGGACACAGCAGGAGCTGGACCAGCCCAGCCAGCACAGCATGGGGCCAGCCAAAAATCAGAGGCCAGACCAGCTCCTGCGGAGTCCTGCAGCCTAGCAGTGCAGCTGGGAACCATGTGGTGCCAGAGAGGCAGGTGACCAGATGGGGAGCAACAGCATCAGGCAGGAAAGTGAGAAAAGGTGGAAGCAGGCAGCAAGGGAGCAGCAGTGAGCAGGCATGCAGGAGCGCAGCAGCAGCTAGGCAGGAGTACGGGGCCCGCGCTTATGCACCAGGCCAGCACCGGCAGGGACCCAGCGCAGGGTGGCAGGACTGTGGGGCCCAGGCAAGCAGGAGCTCTGAAGCCAGGCTGGGCTGCGCCAGCAGGGAGAGGTGGGAGCCAGTTTGGTTCCAAAGAGCCTCTCCAGGCCATGCCCGGCCAGTGCTGACCTTGGCTCACCAGCACAAGCCCTGCACTCCTGCCCAGCTGTTGCTGTGCTCCCATGTGCTTGCTCGCTGACACTCTCCCACCACCTGCCACCGCCATTTCCCCATTTTCCTGCCTGCCACTGCCACCACTCCTCTCCACCCTCCCACCCACTGCTCCAGCACCACATGGTTCCCAGCTGCAGTACTGGGACCTCAGGAGCCGCCCCAACCTCCCCTACCTTGCACAATTGCCCCAGTCCTTTCCTGCCTCTCCCCCTCCCCCTTATTATCTGAAATTTTCTCACCAGTGGAGGGAGGCAGGAGCAGCCCCAGGGGCCCAGGCCAGAAGCCTCTGCTAGGTGAGGTGGGGGTGAGGGCAGGGACGGGACCCAGTGGGGCTTGCTGCTGTGGCTGCTGGGTCCTGCCACTGGTTCCTATTGCCTTGTCATCTTGGGTCCGGACAAATATTTATTTTCTAAATAAACCCGCAGGCTGGGTAGAATGGCCTGGCAGGGCAAATCCAGCCTGTGGGACATATTTTGCCTGCCCTGATGTAGGAGACAATGAGGCTAATAGCACAACTCTTATTTTGCTAGACAGATAGCACAGATGAGTTGCACCAGGAATTTAGTATTTTTATTTCTTTGTAGTGTTGTAATGCCTAGACACCCTAGTCATGAATGTGTGGTACAATACACAACTGTATAAACATGAGCTATTTTATATCACAGTGGGCATGTTTACACATGCATGTACTGTGCAGTAAGTTACTGCACAGTAAGTGCTTTTACGCCAGAGTTTACATGTGAAAACATTACCACACAGTAATGCTGCGTGTGGAATGACTTGAGTCTAAAGCTAGTCCTGAGTCAGTCCACACAAACAGGGTTACTGCCTGAACAGTAAGGCACATGTAGACACCTTACTGTTCAGTAACTCTGTCTGTGGGGAGGCGCTGCCACATGGTGGTGTCCTGCCACTCCAGGTCTGGGCAGAGCTGCTTTAGGAGGTCCAGGAAGGTGACCTGGGTTACGTAGAACACCTCCAGACACTGCTTGTCATCCAAGGTGGCCTGGATGATGTGCAGCCACCTGTCCTGGCTGACCCAGTGGGCCCAGAGGTGGCAGGGCTGCAGGCCAAGGAGGGCATGGACAGCCTCAGCGGTGGCATCCAAGAACACATCAGCAGCATCCCTGTTGGGGTCCGGCCAGCAGGACAGGGTCTAGGTGGCAGCTGTGTGGTGGCAGCAGCAACCCTAGGATGGTACAACACAGCTGGGCAGCAGTCACTGTGTGTGGGGGATCTGGCTAGACCCAGATGACTGTGGGCCAGTTAGCAGTTGGTATGGCAGGTCAGCAGGGCCAGCACAGCAGCCTGCAGGAGCCTGGGGCACTGGGCATCACTGTCAGGGGCAGCGGCTGGAGCAGCCACGGTGCGGTGAGGTAGAGGTGACAGCAATACTGCTGCCGCATGCTGCCCCCATGCTCTGCATGCTGCTCCTGGCCAGAAATCCAGCTGGCCAGGGAGCGGGACTGGCTCTTAAAGATGGTCGCTGGCTGCAGGCAGCTGTGGCCAGAGCCTCCAGCTCTTCCCCCTGGCAGCAGGGCCCCAGGAAGCAGGAGCAGTTTGCTGCCATGAGCAGCAAATCTATTCCCACTTCCCTGCACATGTAGATGCCTGTCCAGGAGTGTTTACCGTATTTTCACACATATATCCCGTGGGGTATACACGATTTTGCAAAAAAAATGGATGGGTGCGGGCTATACGGGGGTGTGGGCTATCCACAAACTTTTTTCCCCCGCAGGGCCAGGGCCGGGGCCCAGCTGCGCTGCTACCACTGCGGTAGCTGGGGCCGGGGCCGGGGCCAGGCTGTGCTGCTGCTGCCACTGC